TTATTTCGGAAACAATAAATACATTGAGATCTTTTTGTTGATCAGTTTTAATATTTTATATTATTAGGATCCACTTGGATTATGCCAACGGATGTGTTACCTTTACTATATATATATATATATATATATATATATATATATATATATGTGTATGAAGAAATATAATGTTATGGTGTGCTATATTGATGGGATAAAGTGCTCAATACCATTGATAGAGCGTGTGTAAGTATAAAAGTGAACATTGAAGACAACACGACAGGCTGTTTCATTAGACGCAATGACGATTGCGTTTATCAGAAACAGCTGTTTCTTCAATAGACGCATATATATATATATATATACATTCATATATATATATATATATATATATATATATATATATATATATATGAATGTATATCTTTATTATGATCATAGTAATGGTAACATTAGCCGTTTCCTACAAGGAAACATTTGGCATTTGTTGACCGTGCAGCCGATGGTGCTTTCGGTCGAAATTTATAAAGTCTCTCCCTTAAAACATTTTTTTCAATTTTTTCAAGTACAGTAGCAGTTACTGCTCTTTCCTATGGAGGTTTCCTTCTAACTTTTTATTTGATATGTGGAATGTCAACATCTTGATTATGTCATTATTTTCTCTTCTCAAGCCCAGTAGCTGTTATCACACTTTCCATATTGATGGAGGTTTCCTTCCTATATATGTGGAATGTCAACATCTTGATTATGTCATTATTTTCTCTTCTCAAGCCCAGTAGCTGTTATCCTCTTTCAGTATTGATGGAGGTTTCCTTCCCTAACCTTTTATTTGAAGTAGTGTGGAATGTCAACATCTTGATTATGTCATTATTTTCTCTTCTCAAGCCCATAGCTGTTATCACTCTTTCCAGTATTGATGGAGGTTTCCTTCCTAACCTTTTATTTGAAGTAGTGTGGAATGTCAACATCTTGATTATGTCATTATTTTCTCTTCTCAAGCCCAAATCACTCTTTCCAGTATTGATGGAGGTTTCCTTCCTAACCTTTTATTTGAAGTAGTGTGGAATATCAACATCTTGAGTATATCATTATTTTCTCTTCTCAAGCCCAGTAGCTGTTATCACTCTTTCCAGGATGGAGGTTCCTTCCTAACCTTTTATTTGAAGTAGTGTGGAATGTCAACATCCATTATTTTCTCTTCTCAAGACCAGTTTTTTCACTCTTTCCATTTTGGAGTTTCCTTCCTAACCTTTTATATGAAGTAGTGTGGAATGTCAACATCTTGATTATGTCATTATATACTCTTCTCAAAGCCCATAGCTTTATCCTCTTTCCAGTATTGATGGAGGTTTCCTTTCTAACCTTTTATTTGAAGTAGTGTGGAATGTCAACATCTTGATTATGTCATTATTTTCTCTTCTCAAGACCAGTAGCTTTTATCACTCTTTCCAGTATTGATGGAGGTTTCCTTCCTAACCTTTTATTTGAAGTAGTGTGGAATGTCAACATCTTGATTATGTCATTATTTTCTCTTCTCAAGCCCAGTAGCTGTTATCACTCTTTCCAGTATTGATGGGGTTTCCTTCTAACCTTTTATTTGAAGTAGTGTGGAATATCAACATCTTGAGTATATCATTATTTTCTCTTCTCAAGCCCAGTAGCTGTTATCACTCTTTCCAGTATTGATGGAGGTTCCCTTCCTAACCTTTTATTTGAAGTAGTGTGGAATGTCAACATCTTGATTATGTCATTATTTTCTCTTCTCAAGCCCAGTAGCTGTTATCACTCTTTCCAGTATTGATGGAGGTTTCCTTCCTAACCTTTTATTTGAAGTAGTGTGGAATATCAACATCTTGAGTATATCATTATTTTCTCTTCTCAAGCCCAGTAGCTGTTATCACTCTTTCCAGTATTGATGGAGGTTCCCTTCCTAACCTTTTATTTGAAGTTTTATTCTTCTCAAGACCAGTAGCTTTTATCACTCTTTCCAGTATTGATGGAGGTTTCCTTCCCTAACCTTTTGAAGTAGTGTGGAATGTCAACATCTTGATTATGTCATTATATACTCTTCTCAAGCCCAGTAGCTGTTATCACTCTTTCCAGTATTGATGGAGGTTTCCTTCCTAACCTTTTATTTGAAGTAGTGTGGAATGTCAACATCTTGATTATGTCATTATTTTCTCTTCTCAAGACCAGTTTTTATCATTTTCCAGTATTGATGGGTTTCCTTCCTAACCTTTTATTTGAAGTGTGGAATGTCAACATCTTGATTATGTCATTATTTTCTCTTCTCAAGCCCAGTAGCTGTTATCACTCTTTCCAGTATTGATGGAGGTTTCCTTCCTAACCTTTTATTTGAAGTAGTGTGGAATGTCAACATCTTGATTATGTCATTATTTTCTCTTCTCAAGCCCAGTAGCTGTTATCCTCTTTCTATTGATGGAGGTTTCCTTCCTAACCTTTTATTTGAAGTAGTGTGGAATATCAACATCTTGAGTATATCATTATTTTCTCTTCTCAAGCCCAGTAGCTGTTATCACTCTTTCCAGTATTGATGGAGGTTCCCTTCCTAACCTTTTATTTGAAGTAGTGTGGAATGTCAACATCTTGAGTATATCATTATTTTCTCTTCTCAAGCCCAGTAGCTGTTATCACTCTTTCCAGTATTGATGGAGTTTCCTTCCTAACCTTTTTATTTGAAGTAGTGTGGAATGTCAACATCTTGAGTATATCATTATTTTCTCTTCTCAAGCCCAGTAGCTGTTATCACTCTTTCCAGTATTGATGGAGGTTTCCTTCCTAACCTTTTATTTGAAGTAGTGTGGAATATCAACATCTTGAGTATATCATTATTTTCTCTTCTCAAGCCCAGTAGCTGTTATCCTCTTTCCAGTATTGATGGAGGTTCCTTCCTAACCTTTTATTTGAAGTAGTGTGGAATGTCAGCATCTTGATTATGTCATTATTTTCTCTCCTCAAGCCCAGTAGCTGTTATCCTCTTTCCAGTATTGATGGAGTTTCCTTCCTAACCTTTTATTTGAAGTAGTGTGGAATATCAACATCTTGAGTATATCATTATTTTCTCTTCTCAAGCCCAGTAGCTGTTATCACTCTTTCCAGTATTGATGGAGGTTCCTTCTAACCTTTTATTTGAAGTAGTGTGGAATGTCAGCATCTTGATTATGTCATTATTTTCTCTCCTCTCAAGCCCAGTAGCTGTTATCACTCTTTCCAGTATTGATGGAGGTTTCCTTCCTAACCTTTTATTTGAAGTAGTGTGGAATGTCAATATCTTGATTATGTCATTATTTTCTCTTCTCAAGCCCAGTAGCTGTTATCACTCTTTTCAATATTGATTGAAGGTTTCCTTCCTAACCTTTTGTTTGGTGTAGTGTGGAATATCAACATCTTGATTATGTCATTATTTTGTCTCTGAGTGAATTGCGATATCTATTTTAGTTGTTGCAGCTGTTGTAGATCCTTACGTGATATGGCGTCTGTTATCTGGTACAGTTCTTTGTGATTCTGTAGCGCCAGAGGAAAAGGTTCAATGAAGTATGGTGTTCGCCAAATCCCACAGGCTTCACACGCTCAAAGTATCTTTAACTTCTTTTTTATCTGCCGTGTCCCTTCAGGACGTGTGCGATCATAGTTCTCCACTTCCCCATATCCCATGTAGCTCTCAATAAGTTTTGTTCCTTTGCTACTTCCTCCAGGCCCTGTTCTGTCATCCACTTGCTTAAGTCCGCCAGGTATGTTAGGCATTGCTTTTCCTTGTATCTCTTTCCCTCTATTCGACCTGTGAGTATCAGATTCTCCAAGCACTCCTTTCTCATTGCGTGTCCCAGAAATTTCAGCTGCTTCTTCCTGATGTTAAGTATAAGCTTCCTCCTTGTTTCCATCTACTCCAAAACCTCATCGTTGCTCACGCGCTCTGTTCCGTAAAGCGGCGGTATACAGCTGAGATATTTCTGAACAAGTTTGGTACCATACTGATATGTCCCGGAAAGGGATATATTTGTTCGAAGTAGCAAGTGGTTGTTGACTACTGTAACCGGGTAGGACAATCTAGCAGGTAACCGTAATGGACTGGTCCTCATCGTAGTGGTAAGGCAATAGGCGTAGGCAATAGGCGAAGACGAGAGGCGTCGACAATAGGCGTCGTCAATAGGTGTAGTCAATAGGTGTAGTCCATGTACCTCCACATCAGTCTGTATTTATGGCTGACACCAGCCAATCATATTAATGTGAGGGGGAACCCAGGTGTATGCATATTTATTACATCACATGCATGACATCCAAATAAAAAAAAAAGAGAAAAACGGGGAAGGAGATTGAGATAAAGATGAGTAGAACTAAACAGAAAGGGGGAAAAAAAGAGAAAGCAAACGTGACCTATCACAGGTTTGCTTTCTCTTTTTCTCTGGACGAACGATGTGCAGGGGTTTTGTGAGAGAATAAAAAAAAATCCTTCAAATGTCGGTTGAAAAAAGTCTGCGTGAGAGAGACAGAGAGAGAGAGAGAGAGAGAGAGAGAAGAAGAAGAAGAAGAAGAAGAAGAAGAAGAAGAAGAAGAAGATAATAGGAAAAGGAGAATGAGGAAGTGAACGTCTGAGAGACAGAAATACGAGAAAGGGAGAGAAGATGAGAAAGACAAAGAGAATGCGTAAAGCATAGAAAGTGCGGAAGAGAATGGGTGAGAGAGAATACGTAGAAATAGAAGATGTATGAGAGGGGGAAAGTTAGAATCTGAGAGAGAGTGAGTAATAACATGTCATTAACACTAATAGAGAGAGCAAGAGAGTCACAAAATCCAGTGTGTGAGAACGACAGATTGGTTCCTTTACGACCAACATCGCCTGTGATAGCTGGAGGAAGAGTTGTTTCCTCGTAAAACGTGATTTCGAAATTGAATGTCAGAAGCCGTGGCGAGGTCGCTGGTTGTGGCCGAATTCGAGACTTGGGTCAAACGACCCTGGACGACCTGAGATGTAGATTCTCTGTGCACTGCGACTGAAAAGCGCAATGTCGTTCAATACAGACAACAAGAGGGGTAGAGGTTTTATTCACACGCGATTTTGTCGAGGCGTGCTCAGGCATATGATAACTGGAGACAATCGCTGCTTCTCTCGCTCTGTCTCCCCACTAACATAGTATGTTCACACGTCCATTCTCCTATCTCTCCTCCTTTCGCTCTCTTAACACACACAAACACCTACTCACATACATACACATGCATATGTTGTAAAAAAAGATATATAAATTTTGATATACTTAATAACAAAAATTATTAAAAAAAACATAAAAAGAAACGAAATGAAATTTGCTACACTCTGTACCCAAGCACATATTTAAAAAAAATAAATTTGAAAGTTTAAAATTTCAACGCCCCTCTCTCCTTTATGCGCATGCGCAGTCGTATCAACGTACACACTACTTAAATTTGATGAAGTCATAAAGGACGAAACGCATCATACGAATGATTTTCAACTTTGTCATTTGTTTTCCTAATATATATATATATATATATATATATGCATATAATAGTCTATAGTTACTTGATAAAGAAAAGTTTTAAAAAAACTATCTATATAAACTAAATATATATTGCTCTATTTTTAATATTGTGCACATTGATTGCAGAAATGTCTTCGTCTTGAAACGAGCTAAACTCCAATAACTTAATGACGTACATGTTTTCCTAGGCGTCAACAATCTGTATTATTATTATTATTATTATTATTATTTTCTTTGATTTTTGGTGTATACTCATTTCTTTCTGGGTCCCGACCAGAGATCTAATTTCAGAAATGGCATCGACATTTTCTACTGAGCAGTTTTGGGAAAAAAAATCACACATATTTTACATAGATAAAGCCTTTCATAAGGTGTGAGTTGTACTCGTGAGAACAATTTTTTTTGTATTTCTTTAAGGCAGTGGTTTTCAACCAGGGTTCCGCGGAACCTTAGGGTTCCGCCAGTACAGTCCAGGGGTTCCGCAATTTCTAAATTAGAACACGAACAAATAAACAACATGTTAAATTCAAATTCGAAAATCTATTTTATTAACTCACAAACTGTCACAAACGGCCGATTAACTGTTGTTATTTTTTTCAATTTCCAAATCATCGAAACTCTTTTACAGATTTTACAACCATGGATAGATTTGTGAAAAAACGCAAGACAGATGCGGATGAAGAGACACAGGATATGAGGCACTCTTTTGAAGCCGAAACTACTACCAACAATGCTGCCTCATCGAAATCAAGAAATGGTGGAATTAACCTACAACTAAAAGTTCGTCAATATTGTGAAAACTACATAGCTCTGGGATTTACTTGGACTGGAAACCCAGGTGCCCTTCACCTTTGTGTATTATTTGTGGGGAGAAGCTGGCTAACAGTGCTATGGCACCAGCCAAACTGAAACGACATTTAGTAACTAAACATCCAGAGTTGTCGAGCAAAGATGAACAATATTTTCAACGACAAATGAAATGTAATAAAAGGCAGGTTTCTATGTTTGCCAAAAAGTTCAAGTTGAGTGACAAAGCACAAGAAGCAAGTTATGCTGTGGCGGAGATAGTTGCAAGAAAAATGAAATCTCATACCATCGCTGAAACTGTAATTTTACCTGCATGCCAAGAAATAGTGAGGATAATGTTTGGAGAGGATGCTGTATCAGAAGTAAATGAAATTCCACTTTCTGACAACACAATAAGTAGGCGCATTCAAGACATGTCAGGAGACATTGAATGCAATCTTAAATCAGAAATACTGAAACATAACTTTTTTGCACTTCAAGTTGATGAGAGTACGGACATTAGTGGTAAAAGCACAACTCCTTGTATTTGTTCGATTTATTGATGATGAAGCTATTGTAGAAGACTTCCTGTGTCTCAAAAATTGCCAGGGACAACGAAAAGGACAAGATGTATTTGATGTTTTGAATTCATATTTAGAGTATTGTGGATTAAACTTGAAAAAAACTGTGCTGGTATTTGTACAGATGGTGCCCCCTGCAATGACAGGATGTCTTAAAGGCTTTGTCTCAATCGCACAAAAACAAAATCCAAATATTATCCATACTCATTGTTTCATTCATAGAGAAGCACTAGTAGCTAAAACTCTTGGATCTGAACTAAAATCTGCATTGGATATGGTAGTTAAAATAGTTAATTACATCAAGATGAGGCCACTTAAATGTCGACAGTTTGAGAAACTTTGTGTGGGTATGGAAGCAGAACATTCCACCTTAATCCAGCACACAGAAATACGATGGTTGTCAAGGGGGAAAGTATTGTCTCGTTTTTACGAATTAAGAGAAGAGTTATTGACCTTTTGTTTGCAAGAAAACCTGAAAGACTTTGTAGAATGTTTAAGTAATGGCCATTGGTGTTCGAAGTTAGCATATCTTGCCGATATATTTCATGAACTAAACCTCTTGAACAATAGCATGCAGGGCAGGAACGAAAATATCTTGTCTTCTACTGACAAAATAAATGCTTTTCAGAAGAAATTGACAATATGGAAGAAACGCATAGCTGCAGGAAATTTGGAAATGTTTCCATGTGTTTTTAAAAGGAATTGTCAAGAAATTAGGCTACTGATTTTGAACCATTTGGACACTTTGTTAACAAATCTTGACAAATATTTTCCATCAATATCTGTTGAGCAGTATGACTGGATTAGAAACCCATTTGTAGAATTTGAGCCGCCTGAAGAACAGTTCACATTAACAGAAGAAGAAGAACTTGCCAGTGTTCTAAATGACAGGACATTAAAGCTGAAGCATTCTGAACTTAACCTGAATGCATTTTGGTTGCTGGTTGAAAAGGAATATCCTGCAATTGCCCAGAAAGCGCTACGACTTCTTGTGCAATTTTCAACCTCCTACTTGTGTGATTTGGATTTTCAGCTCTGACAACCATCAAGCACAAGAAACGAGCTCAATTGCGGTCTGTGGAAGATGAACTTCGTGTGTGTCTGTCAAAAACACGACCCAATCTTAAAGAGTTGTGCAAGAAACACCAGGCTCAAGTTTCCCATTGACTTTTTTATAAGAATAAATGTAATCTATTCAAACATGTACACTTTTGTTTTCATTTCATTTACAATACTCTGAACATGAATATTTTCATTTTATTACAAATTGCATTTTTTTGTATAATTAATTAAATGCTGTTTTTTGCATAAGACAACCAAATTATTGCACAGGGGTTCCTCGAGCCAGTGGAATGTTTCCATGGGGTTCCACTCCAGCAAAAAGGTTGAAAAGCACTGCTTTAAGGCATGGGCTACCAGGAATCTCTTCAATGAGCCTATTGGAAACTTTCCCAACCAATTCGTGGCCTCCAAACTACAACTGGAATTGTTGATGTACTCATGTGCCACATTATTATTATTTTTTTTTTTTTTTATTTTCTTTGATTTCTGGCGTTTACACATTTCTTTCCGGGTCCCGCCCAGGGACTTAAGGTTAGAAATGGCACCATGACACTTTCCACTGACAAAAAAAAAAAAAATTACATAGATAAGCCCTTCGTAAAGTGTAGGTTGTACTTGTCAGAACATTTTTATCCCCTTGAGGCATGGACTTCCAGGAATCCCTTCAATTAGTCTACTGCAATCTTTTCCAACCAATCCTAGGGCTCCAACTACCACAGGGATTGTTGATGTTCCCATGCGCCACATTTTTGAGATTTCTATTTCAAGGTCCTTATATTTTGACAGTTTTTTGAATATCTTCAAAGATACATTGCAGTCAGCAGGGACTGCCATATCAATAAGGAGGCACCGTTTTTGTTTGATTATCATTATTATTATTATTATCATTATTATTATTATTATTATTATTATTATTACATAAAATCTATTCATACCTGTGTATCAAACATAGTTTATATTCACTAAGTGAACTACTATGACATGTGACTTCGTGCTAACACAACGAAATTATCCGTGTTACGTCCATGGATCGTAATATTTTGTGTTACGTCCACGGATCAATGGACCCGAATTATCCTCATTTCCAACATTTTAAGGGAAGTTCAATCAGATATTTTTCCCAAGAACTGCTACTTTGTCCGACAGACTCCCGCCTGGATGCTTCCAGAAATACTGCAGTTTTCAAGTCAAGGTTCAATCGTTATTTATCCTCCTTCACTTCCTCCTATTACCGTCATATCGCAGACTACCTTCAGGGACGTTTACGTTAGTTCTGGGTTTGACGATAAACTGGATCCATCTCTTAATTGCTGTCGTTCTCCAGGTCCACCCTGACCCGGGATGGTAGCACGTTAGGATCCTATCTATGGGCAAATAATTAATCCCAAACTAGGCTCAAAACACTAAGTATAAAGTATAAACATGCACTTATAATTCCATCAATACACGCACACACATATGTGTGTGTGTGTGTGTGTGTGTTGCTGTAATTATAAATGCATTTTATACTTTTATACTATATATATATATATATATATATATATATATATATATATATATATATATATGTGTGTGTGTGTGTGTGTGTGTGTGTGTGTGTGTGTGTTGCTGGAATTATAAATGCATTTATATATATATATATATATATATGTGTGTGTGTGTGTGTGTGTGTTGCTGGAATTATAAATGCATTTTTATACTTTATATATATATATATATATATATGTGTGTGTGTGTGTGTGTGTGTGTGTGTGTGTGTGTGTGTGTGTGTGTATGTATCACTTGTATATCCTTGCTTGAACCGGCTTCTAATGCTCTGGGCTGAACGGCTTGAGAATGGTAGTCGTAGCTTGTGGAAGCACAGTCCTATGGGTAAAAGAGAAACTCGGATGGGTTCCACCACGGAATGTGATGGAGCTGCGCTATATCAAGTCTAATTCGTTACATCTTCGTTACCGAGTCCCGTTGGTGGGGTTGGTATGGCGTTTTCCTCCTATCGTAACTGTTCGGGGTTTCAATTCTCGGTAGTGGGTGCGCTGAAGAGGCCCAAATATAGGACAAAGCGGCCGTCCAGTGAATTCTGTTGAGGTTTCTTCTAGACTCGATGAATTACTTAATTATGATTATTTCAAATCCTCCTAATTATTTCTATCATATGCATCAACTTTTTGTAAAAGAAATTACTGAAGCTTTCAAGAAAATGAAAT